ATTAGGAATAATGAAAGCTTAACGGTGACGTTATAAGTAGTTCTGCTCAGTGAAATTGGTCTCAATTTTCCGTTGTGTGAAGTAAGGCTGTGGGTCAAACAATGTTCTGATTTTTCTTTAGTGACAGCTGTGTAAGAACTGTTTACTCCAGAAGGAGATGTTCTGATTTTTCTTTAGTGACAGCTCAGCTGTGTAAGAACTGTTTACTCCAGAAGGAAGTAGATTTTGATAGTTTGTTTCCTTAAAATAAACACTACTAGCAGTATGTGCAATACTTCACCAAGAACAGGAAAGAGAATTTCTGGATCTCATATTGAACATTAGTTGTGTCCAGCAAAAATGTGACTGAGAGAAGCCCCACACTCTGGGATTGGAGCTCCTGATAGAAATCCCTGACTTCACCTGCCTGCCCAGTGTCTCTGTGTGTTCAAATCTGCCCCAAGAAAGGCTGTAGGAAATGGAGCTCATATAGGTTGGGTCACTGAATTGACCTGAGCTCCCAGAGGGGCCAGTGTTACATGTGTACCAGCACTCACAAGGGTTTTCCAAGAATTCACAGTTTGAAATACAAGTATCTTCCCCCAGAGTCAGAAATTTCCCAGTTTCCTCAAACCAAAAATGTAAAGAGCTGAGATTATCCAACACTAGACTCAGTGGAGAAAAATTAACTTCTATAAATGGACAATTATATCCTAGGACAGTGGCTGGCCTTTGCTTTCCTTTTTTATTAGGAACACCAGGTGACAGGTGCACCTACTAATTTGTGTAAATGTATAATTCGTATAAATGGTAAAGGTAAAAATTGTGGTCACTTGAAAGTGTTCTGTGCATAAAAACTTTGAAGCCACTTATTTAGGCTGGTCTTCTAGTTTCAATTAACGCTTTTAAAATAAAAACAAGAATTCTATGAGAAGAAAAAAAAAAGTGTTAGACAAAGTGAATAAAAACATGGGGTCTCTAAAAGGGAACCTGTTGGGCACTTGCTGTACCACAACTAAAGCCTGGAAGTGTTCTTAGAAAATACTCACTCCTTTGCTTAAGAAGTTGCTGTTAATGGTGATTCAGAAGAACTACAAACAAATTTCAAGCTGCTCACCTTAAAGAAGAATATATTAAAAAATTCAAACTGAGGGGCTGCTTTGACGAAGTGCTGAGGTGCTCTGACTCAAACAGGGACTCAAAAAGCTCTTGGTGAGATCTTTCCCTGCATTGCTCAGAGAAGTTTTGCTGTGGCTATTCATAGAACCAAGATTTAGTTCCCTGATTTGAAAGATATTTCCAGACTGCTAAAATGCTCAACTATTATGTTTTCTCACCAAACTAAATGCAAATATTTTTTTTTTCACTGTTGCTGCTCACTACCCAAGTAGAATGTACCAGAAGTTGAACCATCTACTTTATTCCCAGAGTAACAAA